ACAGACGCTCAAATATCATCCGCAACAAAATGCGACCGGCTTTAAAGACGCTACGTTTTCACATTTTTCTTCTCTTTCTTTCAAAGCCCAGACCTACTCAGTCAGTCGGAATTTTACACCTTACTTTATCCACTTATACAATCTTCGTCCACAAACATTTTTTTAGAGTTCTTGAATGCCATTCCTCCTTTGATTTTCAACACAATGCGCGTTCAGTCTCGGAACGGCGGTGCACTCAATACCTCGCCGTGCCAGAAAACACTTCAAAGCGAAACATAACCTCTCCTTTCACGTGCCTTCGCATTCACTCCCAACCATCGACCGACCACCGTGGAATTGAAACTTTACTTTAGACCAAAATCCCACCAAAGCCAAAGACAACTATTTCGACTCTCCCAGGAAAGAAACTCAATTCACACTGAGTCAAAAATAGAGCTCTCATCGCGATCATCAGTTACTTACCAGACGGAGCTCACCGTGGCAACCAGTCCTCCAGAGCCTCTTAACCACATTCAGATTTATTCCGGTTGCCGAAGAAGCCGCGGAGAATCGAAGAATAGGGACGGGTGGGGGGGGGGGGGCTGTGAGAAGGTAATGGCTGCGCTGTGACCGACTCTCCGGTTGTGATAAATCCTTTTTTGTTTTTTCTCATATAATTTTAGCCACCTATCTTATCATCTTAAGGAATGGCGTGCACATTTCACCTACCAATTAAACCATTTCAAGCCCTTCCTAAAAATATCGATCAAGACGTCCTTGTGATATCTGACACCAATTTCATTATAACAATCACTATTAATCTTACGTTACATATCATACGACATCACCCTACCTCACATATCTACGCACCCAGCCCGAACACCGAAGCCGTCGCTGCATCAATCCTAGATCTATCTATCTGCCATCTATCTTCCTCTACAGTAAATCACTCAGCACTCCCCTAAACGACTCACTTCAGCCACCTGGGGCCCCACTCCAACACCGAAGCCGTTACTGAATATATCTGTGATCTACTCGTCTATCTATCCATCCGTTTATCTGTCTATCCATCCTACGTTCCATTAAATCACTCAGCACTCCCCTAAACGCCTTCAGCCATCCGGGCCCCCATTCTATGTATACATGTATATCCTACGCTCCATTAAATCACTCAGCACCATCCTAGACGCCTTACTTCAGCCATCTGGGCCCCGCTTCGACCCCGGGCCGAGGCGTGCGGGCCCCTTCCCCGCGCCATCTCATCACAAACCGCCACTCACGCCCAACGAGGCCCTTCATCCGGGCAGAGCCATCTAACAATCCTCGCCCTCATCACCGCCTTTTTACGACGCTGACAGAGGATTCGGTCTTCTTTTTCTTGGTCATTAACACTCTGACTCGGTGTGAATCTTTTTTTTCTTTCTTTCTTTTCCACACGGTATTTTGACTCTTTGTAATAACGCCTTTCAGATTCGTTCCTTTTCTTTCTTTTTATTTATTTCATCTTATTTCGTTTCTTCCCCTTTCATACACGCCGTCAGGAGGAAATGCCAGTGAATGAATCTTTTATTTCTTCTTTCTTTTTTCCCAAGCAGTATTTGATTCTGTGTAACAACGCTGCCCTGAAATCTTTCCTTCCTTTTATCTATATTTATCATTTTTATCTCATTTCGTTTCTTCTTCCCTTTTTACACACGAAATAAATAAATGTCAGTGAATGATTTTTCTTCTCAAACAGTATTTGATTCTTTGTAATAACGCTTTTCTGAGATTCGTTCCTTTCCTTTACTTTAATATTTTTTTACACCTTATTACGTTTCTTTCCCATTTACAGACACCGAAAGAAGCAAATGCCATGGTTCAGGGTAGCGTTATCCGTGCGCCTTTATGATCCTGGGAAAGAAGGAAAAGGACGCGGCCTGTTTCTTCACTCCGTAAGCCGCTTACATCCGCATCAACTTCAATAAGTGTCTACGTCGTCTGCGTAAAAAAGAAGAGAAAAAAAAAACTTCACGTGTTAAACTCTTTAGCAAAACCCGTGTCGACATATTCTTTGTTTTATGACCATGTAAAACTTATTCCTTTTTTCACTAAAGACTGTAATTTTATATTCAAATCATTGGTATTTTTCTCGAGAATGTTCTTATTATCGTTTCGGCCTTCCTCTCTTCAGAGAACTTGTATATTCGCGACGTTTATAAACAAAATATATGAATTTACATATCTGTATATACAAAAAATAATACGGTGCATTGGCGTGCTAAATCGTATCAAATGTATACTCCAAGAAGCGAAAAATATAAAATGGAATAGCGAATTAGCCCAGATTAATGCGTAGCACAGATGCATCACTCTCACTTCTTCTCTGGGCCCACACTTTCCCCTCAGCCATGGAAACAAACGAAATAACCAACAGCAGTACAGATGGAATGATCACGATGATAACCGCCATGGCTTTCAATACAACTCTTAAGGAAAGCTCCGCCATGTTCGAGACATATCGCCGGAAACGGTTTAACGA